ACGGTGGAGTAATGGTGCTTAAGGATGGTTATGACCGGCATGACAGCAGCGAGAGGGAGGCGAACGACGGTGGTTCAAAGGCGATTAGGGTTTTCGATCTGGAAACTCTAATCACCTTTTATTCTGGATCTCCAACGACAAGGGTTTGTCTCAAAATTTCCGTCTCCAAGTTTCCTCTCTTTTTTCTCCGACCCCCTTCTGTATTTTTTTAGTTCGATCTTTATAGGGTTAGCAGATAGGGTTATTGTTAATTAGGAAATTTTGTTACAGTAACTTCGATTTAACAGATTAACATTTAGGGATTTGTAATTGATTCAGAATTCATTGTAATATGCTGATTCTGTACGTTAATGTAATAGAGATTGAATTTGTAAGATTCAATTTTATAAGATTCTGTACAATTTCTGAGATTTTCTTCTGTATAAACTTAGAATTGTATTTAATTCAGTAATTTTGGATTTGGACTTTAAACTGATTTGATTCTTATGAATATCGACTGGATCTGTAATAATAATTTTGTATTATTTCCTTGTAGATAAGATTTGATTTAGTATTTTAGTATTGTTCTATTGTGATGTATTTTTGGGCTTGAACTTGATTTCTGAAGATTTTGATTTATAAAAAGATTTGCTTAATTTCTACAGTGCCTTTTAATGCCAAAACGTGCGCAATTTCTACTTTAAAAATTGATACAACATTTACTAGTAGTTAGTCATTGAAAGATTTAGAACTTGCAAGTATTTTGGAATGAATCGTATTTTCCAGGTTTATTGGCTATGGTGCATGAGTTTGATTGTGGAAGTGTGTGATGTCACCCTTTATAAGATCTTTAAAGCATAATAATCCTAAGTCTTGTTTGAGTACACTTTCAATCATCTATTAAGATTCAGTGGGATAAAGATTCTTATGGTGATTCTCATTTTCATGCTTCAAGCGATACCTTTGTTGAAATGAAATATAAGTGCCAAGAGATTTGTTGAGGATACATAAAAAGAGGATTTTTCTTCAAACTTTAAGTTCCCCACGGCCTTTGCTTCAGTTTCAGCTTCAAAGTCTTCATCATCCTTCCAAGCTCGTATCAATTCTGAAAACATGAAACAAGAGGAAAAGAAATAATCAGCAAACAATCAAAAGTGAACGAAATTACAAATGATTTAACTTCATCATTATGGTTGTTTTTTTGGAATCAGAAAAGAGGGTGTTTTATGTGCTAAGGCCTCAAACATTTAAGTTTCTATCATGGGCTAATTTCTATTGCAAATCAAAAAGTTTGGTTTGGTTCACAATAGAAGAAAAAATGCAAAAAGACATAATTCCTTCAATTCACCCCAACAGGATTCAAATCAGAATTCAAGTCCAAAAGAAAAGCCTCATACAAAAGTCAGAATTACATCATTGGCTAGGAGTAGTTCTATTGCAAATAATAAATTTTTTTGGTTCATAAAATATAGGGAAGATCAAGAGAAATCAAATTTATCATCATTTCACGCAAAGAAAACCATATTTCCAAGTTACTGGAAAAGAAAAATATTGTTCACAGTAAATGAAGGAAGAAATTCATAAAAGTACAGCATAACCAACAAGCAAGCTAGTGCAGCAAGTACTAAAAGTTATCATGTTTCACAATAACTTGTACAAAATCCAACAAGCAAACGTACAACAACAAAGTACAAAGTCTGTACAAAGTTCAAAAGTACAACAAGTGCAGCACCAAAGCAACAAGCAAACAGTACAAAAGCCAGCATCTATCATAAATGAATAACACAGCCAACAAGCAAAGTAAAAGGACAAAGTACAATAAAATTGACTTATCAAAAGTCATAAAAATCAGTAACAAGTCAAAATCGAAGCCTCCCTGAAGTCAGTATCAGTTCTTTTTACAGAA